TGCATGCATATTTAAGCTCTACATTGGGATTACCTGAGAGGTTTATATATACAGGTTTTTGAGCTTTAGAATTGAGCTAGGAACCTGAGCATCTTTCCTAAAGCTTGTGAGGTGCTTCTGATGCAGTTAGGACCATAAAGCAATACTTGAGAACCACTGTGCACTAGTAGAGGGTCCCTTCTTTCGTGGTGGTATGAGCTTAGCTGCTTGTCTTTTTTTTAATCCTATGGTAAGTCACATACCTCTTTGCCATTGTTCCTACATTTTTAAGATTTTGCTTCTTGGTAATCCTCAAGTAAATACAGTTTCTAAATGGATAGAAAGTTGAATTCTTTATGTTTACCATTCTTTTGAATATGTCTCATTAAAGATTCAAATTAAAGTACTGATTTGGAGGCTGGGCTAGTTAAATATCAAGAAAGAATGTTGAATACTTTTGTACCTAGTAGAACACTTACATGTGGTTATGTTTTCATCATAAGTCTGGCATTAAAAATTCATTGTATCCTTCATCAGGAGGTCGTTCTCGATACCGGACCGCTTCTTCAGCCAATAACCCCAATCTGATGTATCAGGATGAGTGTGACCGGAGGCTTCGAGGAGTAAAGGATGGTGGCCGGAGAGACTCTGCAAGTTATCGGGATCGTAGTGAAACCGATAGAGCTGGTTATGCTAACGGCAGTGGCTATGGAAGTCCAACTTCTGCCTTTGGAGCACAAGCAGGCCAATACACCTATGCTCAAGGCACCTATGGTGCAGCTGCTTATGGCACCAGTGGCTATACAGCCCAGGAATATGGCGCTGGCACTTACGGGGCTAGTGGCACCACCTCAGCTGGGAGAAGTTCACAGAGCTCTAGCCAGCAGTTTAGTGGGCTAGGCCGGTCTGGGCAGCAGCCACAGCCACTGATGTCACAGCAGTTTGCACAGCCTCCTGGAGCTACCAGTATGATAGGTTACATGGGGCAGACTGCCTACCAGTACCCTCCTCCTCCTCCTCCCCCTCCTCCTTCACGTAAATGAAACCACTCAAGTGGTAGTGACTTGTGCAGACTTACTACATTGAAAGGAACGCTGTCTTTCCCTTTTTTTCTGTTCCCCTTCTCTTTTTAAACCCCCCCCCCCAACCATTGTGGTTTGTCTTTTATGCAGATTAGTTAGAATTCACTGCCAGGTTTCTTCTGCCCGCCAAATTGATCCAGTCTGTAATAATAGTTTTTGTAAAAAATACATATATATAGCTGACTGGAAGAGATCCCCCCCCCAACTTCTTGCATGTTGAGGATATTTGAGCTATTTTTCATCTTAAAAGAAAAAGCAAGGTATTAGGCCCTTTTTATGGGAGTCCTTTTTGTTGTCCTGAGTTGGGGGTGGGTGGGGAGGGTAAAGGGTTGAATTCTGCAGAAGAAGATGGCATCTGTGCTTCAAATTGTTCCTATTACTGAGTTAAAAAACCAAGAGAGAGTTCCCGGCGTGTTTTCCATAATCGGTTTTAATGTCTCCCAAGCTGGAACAGGCTTCCTCAGGCCTGATGAGTTTTTAAGACAGTGCTTTGCCATTGTCCTTTTGGCTGATTGCTTTTTAAGTGCATTCACAGTTTTGAAAAATTCCTAATTGGTTTTGTCTCCCAATCTGGCCTCCCCCTTCCCAGTGACTAAAAAATAATCATTTTAGTGTCAGGTTAGAAATTGAATTGCCAAGTCTGAGTATTTTAAGTGTATCTTTTAAATTAAAAACCCAAGTGTTTATTGCAATGGCTAAAAGGAGCATCTCAGCATCTGGGTGGAAGCTGCCTATTTTTCTTCCCCATATAAACAGGGACCATCTGTGAAATTCATTTTCAACCAGACAGCTGCTGTTCGCAGAATGAACATAAATGTTCACTGGAAATTTACTTTATTAACCAGTTAAGTGCATTCACCTGCAGTGTAAAAACCACCTTTAATTATAAACAGTATACTCAATGGGCAATTTTTTCTTTTTTTTTTTTAACTATAGAGCTAGAATAAAAGCAACTCTTTACCAGCTACTCAGCCCTTTTGGCCAAGTTATCTTGAATAAAGAATATTAAGGGTTTATTAAGAAAGAACTCTTACTTTCTTCATACTCTGTTGTCTGCTGTGCTTTGTAACAGCTGTGGGTGCAAATTTTCCTTGACATCCTTTTGCACTCAGCTTTCTACAGGTAGGTAGTGCTTACAAAAAGGTACCGAGGACTATAACCTAAGTCCTTTTCCTTTTCCTCCATCTGAAGGTAGGTGAGTTTGTCCCCTTCATAATAACATTGACTGTTTCACTGAGACTACCTGTAATAGTCCTGGAAAGACTTTTCTGCGCTCGTGTTCACTATAACAGTACAGGGAGATCAGACAGAGTCAGAAACCTGTCATCTAGTGTAAGACGTAATTAATGCTGTCATCAGTATTGCTCATTCACAGTGTAGTTGAAGGGGGAAGGGGCCACTGCATTTTTGGCTAAGGCCTGAGTGCGTGCTCATTTGTAAGATCCAAATATCTAAATACTTGAGGTTTTTTGTTTTCCTTTTGAAATTAAGGGAGAGAGAAGGGTTTGTTTCTGAGAGGTTCTGAAAGTATGGTTGAATATACAACATACAGGTAGGTTGTGAGCATAAGTTGAAATATATGCATGTGAGATCTTTGCCCACCCCTACACCTCTCCCCTACTCCTTTCTTTTTTCTTAACTTCTTTTTTCCCCCCTTAATAGAAGTTGAGGCCGAAAGAGGGTAGTAGGCACAGGAGAAACATGGCAAAACTGCTCTGTTCTTTTAAACCAAAGTGTTTTCTTCTTGCCCTCCTAAAAAAAATGTTTTTGTTTGTTTAAGCACTGACCAGTCGATTGTAGGTATTTCTACATGAGAATTCTGATTTTTTTTTTTCAAAACAGGTGCCACCAGAGGGGCTGTCATACTCACTTGCAGGTCTGAGAAGCGTCCCTTTTTAGGAAAGGTCTCTGGGCAAGCAAGCAATAAATAGTTTGTCTGTTGCTTGACTCCCTTCTTTCCACCAGGGATATTGTAATCATATAGTCAAAATAGCATGTTCCAAATCCCAAAAGCTGTTGTGGCCTGAGCACAGCTGGAACCTAGCAGGGTTGTTCCTGTAATCTAGAGTAACCTTCTGCCTCTATGCCTGACGCTCACAATTCAGGGTCAGCCTTAGCTTCAGAGCACAGGCAAAAGGATCTCATTTGATGCTAGGTATGCGGTCATGGTTAAACTCACTTAGGGAAAGGATTTCAACATTAAGCTATGGGGCTGCTTCTCCCCAATCCCTCAACAATTCATTGTGTGGAGTTCTGTCATCTCAAAGGTTGGTGGCTTTTGCTTGGGATCAGTGCTCTCTATTCATGTCCTTGCTGGTCTCTGAACACATTCCTGTTGCGTTAAGACTTGAAAGATTGTAGATGTGTGATGTCCAGGCACAGGATGCTAAGAGCTATGTTACTATTCTTAGTTTGTAAATTGTCCTTTTGATACCATCTTGTTTTCTTTTGTAGGTATAAATAAACACTGTTGACAATAAAGTGTGAGCTTTTTATTACTTAAAAATTGTGACTATAGCCAATGGTGGTCCTCTTAACATTTTTTTATTTGCTTCAAGACGGGTTGGGGGTGGAAATTGCCTTAGTTATTAGCACCTAAAAATGTGAGAGGGAGGTGGGATTGATTGGTGTTAATGCAAATTTGAGTCACAAAGCAAAAAACAAGACCTAGTAGGGTAAAAGGGCTTGGGTATGTTTCCTCATCAGTAAATGGTCATCATGCTAACAGTACTGACCTAAGATTGTAACTGGGTTAAAGTATGCTGAGTGTGGAACTACAATGAGCCACAGTAAGACCTGAGTTGATTTTAAAGGTGAGCATGAAACTAAGTCTTGCCAGAGCTTGTAAATTTGGTGCTTTGTACTCAGAGGGACATCTTTCCAGATTGGGATTGCCGTAGCATGCCTCACACGAGGGCCTTAGAGGCTGTAGTTTATTTGACCCATTTGTGAGTTGGCCAACTAAGGTTTGATATTCCTGTTGACATTGTATGGCACCATTTTTATGTAATTGGCCCAAGTGTTTTGTTACCTCTGTAAGGGAGGTATTATTGATGAGGTCTTCTAGATAGAATGATCAGTGCTTTGCTGAAATCCATGCACACTGAGCAGTTTTCTGGCTTTAATTTTAACATTTGGTCTGAGTCCTGTATTAAGTTGCTCGGTAGAACATCTCAAATAGTTGGCTTCATATCCTTGTTCTTTGAGGGCCCTCAAATTGGCATTGGAAGACTTAACTTCTTTCCTTTAAGGACTAGAAAAAAATAAGAAAGATGGAATATTATGTTCTTTCAGGAAAAAAAAAAACATACTGATGAGAGGACTCCTTTATAACTTTGTGCATAATCTTAGTATCTCTAATGCCCAGTTCACAGCTGTTCAGATGAAAAAGCCAAGAGGGGAACTTCACTGCAAGTTAACTACATCTCACTGACCCCCATCTTGGTTTCTGATACTCCCACCACCACTCCCTTATGCCATAAGTTTAACACCTGATTCCTTTAGTCCACATCTCACAGCAGTCCCTCATTCTATTCCCAAGAGAACTGTCCACTTCTCTCCACTGATGACTTCTTCCCAACCATTGCAATTGCCCCTAAACTATCCTGCTTTGGCAGCTGGTGGATCGGTTTAAATCAGTGGTTGCCAACTGGTGGTCCATGAGGTCTGAAAGGTTGGCAACCGCTGGTTTAAGTGACTCCAACAGCAGCCCTTTGTAATCAGAATGCACTGCAAACCCCTCACCCTGGCCTATATGTCCCTGTGTGACTGATGCACTTGACCTCTGACATCCCCAGGTTTATAGATCTGGACCCCACTAGCCTTTTTGTACTAAGCAGATTCTTGCCTTGGGGCTTATCCTATCTAATAATAGACAAAAAGGGTAATTAACCGTACCTTCGCTGTGCTTCCCATTGGCTAATCAGCAAGATATGCAAATTAACTGCCAACAAAGATGGTGGCTGGCAGCCACGCAGCTGAAGCGAGCAGGAGGCTTGCTTGCTCCAGTGATGGAGGAAGCCAAGGTTCCCCGCCTGCCGCAGCCTGCTCTAAACTCCGAAAGCAACAAAGTTTCAATTATAGAAGCTAAACAAACCCCAGATACCTGCTTTCAGCCAGCCGCGGCCTCAAAGCTGGAGCAAGCAGACGGCAACAAAGTTTCAATTATAGAAGCCAAACAAACCCCAGATACCTGCTTTCAGCCAGCCGCGGCCTCAAAGCTGGAGCAAGCAGACGGCAACAAAGTTTCAATTATAGAAGCCAAACAAACCCCAGATACCTGCTTTCAGCCAGCCGCGGCCTCAAAGCTGGAGCAAGCAGACGGCAACAAAGTTTCAATTATAGAAGCCAAACAAACCCCAGATACCTGCTTTCAGCCAGCTGCGGCCTCAGAGCTGGAAGTGCCAGTGACAGCAACAAAGTTTCAATTATAGAAGGTAAATAAATCCCAAAAGAAAAGGAGAGGCTGGGAGCTTCAGTCGCTGGCCAGCCTGAAAATGGCCCTCAGCCCCTCACTCAGGCTTGCCAGGCACCCCAGTGGGGACCCCCACCCTGAAG